CGATTAGACTGGCTTTGTAATATAACCTGAAATCTGGTAATGTGATCCCACCAACTTTGTTCTTCTTTTTCAAGATTGCTGTGGCTATTCAGGGTCTTTTTGGTTCCATATGAACTTGTTTTAGTTCTGTGAAGTATATTGGTATTTTGATGGGGATTGCATTGAATCTATACATTGCTTTGGGTAGTATGGACATTTTAATGATGTTTATTCTTCCAATCCATGAACAAGGTATGTGCTTCCACTTTTTTATGTCTTCCTCTATTTCTTTTTTCAGTGACCTTTAGTTTTCTGCCAATAGGTCTTTTATTTTTTTGGTTAAGTTTATTTCTATGTATCTTAATTTTTTTACTGCAATGGTAAATGGGATTGTTTTTTAGTTTCTCTTTCTGTGATTTCATCATTGGTGTATAAGAATATCATTGATTTATTAATGTTAATTTTGTCTCCTGTTACTTTCCCAAATTCATTTAAGTCTAGTAGATTTTTGATGGAGTCTTTAGGGTTTTCTATGTACAATATCAAGTCATCTGCAAATAATGACAGTTTTACTTCCTCCTTTGCAATTTGGAAAATAGATTTCAAAATAAATGCCGTAGTGAATGCCATAACTAGAGACAAAGAAGACCACTACATAATATTGAAAGGATCTATCAAACAGAAAGATATAACCTTGGTAAACATATATGCACCCAATATAGCAGCACCAAAATACATTAAAAATCTTCTGGAGGACTGCAAAGGAGAAATTGACAGCAATACAATCATAGCAGGGAACAACAACACCCTGCTGAAATCACTGGATAGATCCTCTAAACAAAATATTCACAAGAATATAGAGATGCTAAATAAAGCACTACACAAATGGATTTAATAGATATCCACAGAAAATTACAGCACAAAACTGCATCTAAAGTGCACATGGGAAATCCTCAAAGATAGACCACATTTTAGGATACAAACTAAGTCTCTACAAGTTCAACAACACTGAAATCATATCAAACATCTTCTCAGATCACAATGGCATGAAACTAGAAATCAAATGCAACAAGAACATGAAAAGACATTTGAACACATGGATGCTAAATAGCATATTATTAAACAATGAAGGGGTTACCAAGGAAGAAATTTAAAAAGTCCTGGAAACCATTGAAAATGTACACACAACAATACAAAATCTATGGGATGCAGCGAAAGCAATTCTGAAAGGAAGTTCATAGCACTACAGACCTACCACAAGAAATGAGAAAAATTTCTAATAGATTAGTTAACCTCACAACTTAAAGAACTAGAAAGCAGACAAAAAGAAAACTCCAGAGCAAGTAGAAGAAAGGAAATAGTAAAGATCAGAGAAGAAATAAAAGACATAGAGGCCAAAAAAAAACAATTCAAAGGATCAATGAAACAAAGAAGTGGTTTTTCAAAAAGATAAACAACATTGAATGACACTTAGCTAGACTCACCAAGAAACAAAGATAAAGAACCCAAATACACACAATCAGAAATGAAGAAGGAGAACTAACAGTTTACACCAGAGAAATACAAAGGACTGTTAACAAATACTATGAATAATTATATGGCAACAGATTCGACAATCTAGGCAAAATGGACACATTTTTAGAAACACATATGTCTACCAATACTGAACTGAAAAGAGATAGAAAACTTTAACAGACCAATAACAACTAAGGAAATTGAAGATGTAATCAAGACTCTCCTAGCAAACAAAAGCCCAGGCCATAAAGGCTTCAAGAGGGAGGTTTACTGAACATTCAAAGAAGATGTACCACTCATTCTTCTCAAACTATTTCAAAAAATACAAGACGAAAAAAGACTTCCAAACTTGTTTTATGAGGCCAGCATTATTCTAATTCCAAAATGAGAAAAAGACACTACAAAGAAAGAAAACTACAAGCCAATAGCCATGATGAACATAGATGCCAAAATCCTGAACAAAATACTAGGAAATCAAAATCAGCAATACATAAAAAAAAAACTATTCACCATGACCAAGTGGGATTCATCTCAGGGATGCAAGGCTGGTACACTATTCACAAATCAATAAATGTGATGTACTACATAAACAAAATAAAAGATCAAAATCATATGATCATATCAATGCTGAAAAAGCATTTGCCAGAATCCAGCAGCCATTTCTGATAAAAACGCTCAGCAATGTGGGAATAGAGGGATCATATCGTGACATAATAAAGGCCATAGATAAAAGACTTATAGCAAGTATCATACTCAATGAGCAAAAACTAAAAGCATTTCCCTTAAGAACAGGAAGAAGACAAGGATGCCCATTTTCACCACTCTTATTTAACATTGTACTGGAAGTCTTAGCCATAGCGATCAGACAGGAAGAAAAAATAAAAGGGATCCAAACTGGAAAGGCGGAAGTGAAACTGTCATTATTCGCAGATCACACAATACTATACGTAAAAAACCCCAAAGACTCCATAAAAAATTTACTAGAGTTAATAAATGAATTTGGCAAAGTAGCAGGATACAAAATTAACATCAAGAAATTGATGGCATTCTTATACACCAATGGTAAAAATCACAGATAGACAAACTTAAAAAACAATTCCATTTACCTCTGTGGCAAAAAAAATTAAGATACCTAGAAATAAACTTAACCAAAAAAATAAAAAACCTATTGGCAGAAAACTACAGGTCATTGAAAAAAGAAATAGAGGAAGATATAAAAAAGTGGAAGCACATACCTTGTTCATGGATTGGAAGAATAAATATCATTAAAATGTCCATACTACCCAAAGCAATCTATAGATTCAATGCAATCCCCATCAAAATACCAACATACTTCATATAACTAGAACAAATACTTCACAAGTTCATATGGAACCAAAAAGACCCTGAATAGCCACAGCAATCTTGAAAAAGAAGAACAAAGTTCTTGGGATCACATTACTAGATTTCAGGTTATACTACAAAGCCACTGGAATCAAAACAGCCTGGTACTGGCACAAGAACAGGCATATAGATCAATGGACCAGGATAGAGAGCCCAGAAATGGACCCAAGTCAATATGCTCAATTAATATTTGACAAAGGTGGCAAGAGCATACAATGGAATACAGACAGCCTCTTTAATAAATGGTGTTGAGAAAATTGGACAGCTACATGCAAAAAAAAAATGAAACCAGACCATCAACTTACACCATACACAAGATAATCACAAAATGGATGAAAGACTTAAATGTGACCCATTAATCCATAAAAATTCTAGAAGAAAATGTAGGCAACAAAATTTTGGCCATCATACACAACAGAATTTTCATTAATACATCACCTAAGGCAACAGAAACAAAAGAGAGAATGAACACAGGGACTACATCAAACTCAAAAGCTTCTGTACAGCAAAAGATACAATCATGAAAGTGGAAAGACAACCCACTGTATGGGACAGCATAATTGTCGATGATATATCAGATATATATATATGTCAATGATATTTCAATATATATAAAGTGCTCATACAGCTCAACAAAAGGAAGACAAAAATCCAATTAAAAAATGGGCAGAGAAACTAAAAAGACACCTCTCCAAACAGGACATACAAATGGCTAAGAGACATATGAAGAAATGTTCACCATCACTAATCATCAGAGAGATGCAAATTAAAACAACAATGAGGTATCACTTCACACCTGTCAGAATGGCCGCCATCAACAAATCATCAAACAACAAGTGTTGGTGAGGGTTGGAGAAAAGGGGGACTCTAGTACACTGCTGGTGCGAATGCAGACTGGTGCAGCCACTATAGAAAACAATATGGTGTTACCTAAAAATTAAAAATTGAACTATCATTTGACCCAGTGATCCCACTTCTAGTAATATACCCTAAGAAGCCTGAAACACCAATCACAAAGAATATATGTACCCCCATGTTCATAGCAGCATTATTTACAATATCTAAGATCTGGAAACAGCCCAACTATCCATCAGTAGATGAATGGATAAAAAAGCAGTGGTACATATACACAATGGAGTGCTATGCAGCTGTAAGAAAGAAAGATCTCTTATCCTTTGAGAGGACATGGAGGGACCTGGAAAGTATTATCCTAAGTGAAACAAGCCAAACAGAGAAAGACAAATATCATATGATCTCACTTATTTGTGGAATATAATTAGCATAACAGTCCCAGAGACATGAAAGTCGGGTACACATTGATAATCACTGGAGGAGGGGGTGTTAGGGGAGAGATAAACCACAGAACTTATATGCATGTATGCATGACAATGGAAATGGACAACAAAGCAGTGAGAGGGCAGGGAAGGATGAGGGAGGGAAGAATCAGTGGGGAAAAAAGGAGAAACCTGTGTACCAAAAATAAATTAATTAAAAAATAAAATAAAATATTGTCTCAGTTTGAAATAGATTTCCTTTGTTTTATATTGATGTTTACTTCTCTTTCTAGCTTACTGCTATATTTCACTCATATGTGAGATATAAAACTGAAAGCAACAATTGAACAAAAAAAATAAAAAGTCATGCACACATACAACGGTATAGTGGTTACCAGAGGGAAGGGGTTGAAGAGGTAGTAAGACGTAAAAGGGGTCAAATATATGGTGATGAAAGATGATTTGATTTTGGATGGTTGGCACACAATGCAATGTATAGAGATCACGCATCATAGAAATGTACACTCAAAACCTATATAATCTTATTAACCATTGTCACCCCAATAAATTTAATTTAAAATGATACAATAAAACTCTAGATGTTGTAAAAAATTAATGACTGTCAAATTTTATTAATATATTCCTAGTGTGTAAAACGAATATGCTTTAAACCTGGCAAAATAGTATAAACTTAAGAGTTAACAAGATCAAAATTATTCATTTAAAAAACCTGCATAATTTTATTAACCAATGTCAGCTCAATAAACTCAACTTTTGAAACAATGTTAAATAAAAACTTAATAATTTTTTCACATATTTACAATTTTTAAAAGATATGATATACTTTACCTGTAATGCTTGTTTCAGTTGTTCCTGAAGGATTTTGTTCTCAGTTTCCAGAGCATATATTGTTTTCTAGGATGCAACATAAGGGGGAGAGTAGGATAAATTTTGTACTTTTTTTTCATTAGTTTACTGTTATAATTATTACCTTTCTAAAAGCCATATATAGAGCCAAGATAACGATTTGGGGATACATTTACTGCACACTTTTCAGGCATAATGGTGAATCATATCTGTAGCTATAACTTCCTATTGATTTTTCATAAGCAATTGGACATTGAAACTGGTAAATCATAACTGCAGTAAATTAAACATTTCTTTTCTCCTTTTCCTTATGCCTAAAATATTTAAATATAAACATTTCAAATTTTATAAAAAGAAGCAACTTTGTTCTTAACAAAAAAACATACTTCTGAGTTTGTGAGGAGTGGATTCTATGACACATGAAATAGCTCAAGAATTCTTCAGCAGATGGAAGACAGTTTGAGAAACTCTACTTAAAGTCTCCAGTTCTGCTCTGGTATAGCAGAGCAAATTCCTACTGGACAAGCCCTATAATACACAACCACCAAAAACTATGTACAAAATACAAATATCAACATTTGAAAACAACCAAGTATACTTCAGAGAAGGTAACCAAAAGTAGTAAGAATCTTGGTTTTGGTGCTTAGTCCAAGAGTAAGCCCTAGATGAGTCAGGCAAGGCTCTTAATAACTGACAGAAAGCCTGACTTTTAGACTTTAAAAACCAGAAGATAGAGTTCAGGACAATCACAGCCACTAGAAAGGTCATGGGAAAATCACACAACAAAGGGAGCCAGAGACAGGAAGTCCCAAACTGTATAATATCTTTCCAATTCACCCTCCAAACCCAAAACCATATATACATAGAAAAGACTCTAAGCAGCCCAGCAAACACTAAAAAATTAAAATCCCATTTGAGCTCCTGCCTTAGTACAGAATTTTTATTTTTCATCCAAGCATGTTAATTATATATTAAAGCAAAACAAAAAAACAAAAATAATACCAATCATTGGAAAAATATAGAAGAATCCAGAGTTTCAACATGACAATCCCAATATCCAGGATACAATTTAGAATAACTTGACATTTAAAGAAACCGGAAATGCTCTTTACTATTAAGATAAAAGATAATCCACAAAAAGTGAATCTAACATAGTCCAGATTTTAAAATTAGCATAAAGAATTTTAAAGTAACTGTTATAACAATATCCAAAGTAAAATAAATATGCTCATAATGAATCAAATTATGGAAATCCAAGTATAGAAACAGAAACTATAAAAAATAGCCAAATGTAAATTCTAGTATAGAAAAAATAGAGTATCTGAATTTAAAAATTTAATGGATGAACAAGGGAGCTGATTGGATATGGCAGTATAGAGTCAGCTCATTTGAAGATACATCAATAGAAAATATGTATCTAAAGACAAAGATAACAATGATTAAAAAATAAATAGAGACTGAATAACATTAACATTTGAAATAGTATCAAATAACTAACATGTCATTGTATTCCAATAAAAAGAAACAGAGACCCTGGCTGGTTTGGCTCAGCAGTTAGAGTGTCCGCCTGTGGAGGGTCCTTGGTTCAGTTCCCACTAAAGGCACATACCTTGGTTGCAGTTTGTCCCCAACCCCGGTTGGGGTGGTCGTGTGGGTGGCAACCACTCGACATGTCTCTCTCACATCGATGTTTCCAGCTCTCTCTTCCTCCCTCTTTCTCTCCTGCTTGACCTGAAGCTAAATGCAAAAAAAAAAAAAAAGGTCCTTGGATGAGTATAAAAAAAAGGGGAGAGAAAGTAGTAAAAAAAAATAGTGTTTGAAAAAAATTGTTGAAAATTTCCAAAACTTGGAGAAATTTATATGTCCAAGATGTTCAGTAAACCCTAAGTTGATGTGTATGAAGAAAATAATGCTCACACATATCAGAGTCAAATAGTTAAAAACCAAATTTAAAACATTTGAAGAGCAAAGAATAATGACACATGGAAATGATTATTTAAATGACTGCTTATAATCAGAAAAATATATGAAGGCCAAGTGAAAATGGAAAAACATCTTATAATAGAGAGCAAATGACCCACTTCTGAAATAGTTATTTTAAGAAACAAAAGAAAGCTTTAGATTTACATTTTTATTCTTATTAAAATCTGAGAGGACATGGGATCTATAAAAATAGTAACAGGTGATAATTGGGACAAAAATAAATCTTCCAGCCACTGATCAAGAGATTTCAAATATGACATACAAGGTGCTAAGAAAACTCATATTTATAAACAGACAAAGAAGTATAATACTCTGATAGAACCAAATAACTTTACACAGAAGGGCCAAGTTGAACAGTCCCAAGAGATACCCCCACTGAAGTAGATGTAAAGGGACAAAGACGAAATAATTAGGAATAAAACTTTAGAACTGGATGCAATGAGAGCCATGCATTAGGTTCTCCTGAGATTTTGTTTTTAAAAACATAATTTTTTAACTTAAAAGTGAAAAGGCTACTTCTGAGAATAGATTTAGAAATATTATAAAGTAAATGGTAAAAATATAGCACTGAACATACAAATAGAAGCCAAGACTAAAAAGATAAAACACTTAAAGAATAGGTTTAAGAATCATAATATTCAAATATTAGTTCCAGAGGAATAAAATAAAAAATAAAAAAAGAAGAAAAAGAAATAGAAAACAATACTTCCTTAAACTAACAAAAAAAAAAAATTAAGACCTGATAAAATTTAAACATCAAGGAAAAATTAGAGCAAAAAGTAAGGGAACAGGGTCACAGAAAACTATTATACCCACATCTAAACAAACATTCCATGAGAGAAAAATAATATTCTATTTTGTTTAAGCTACTGAATTTTATAGGGTCTCTTTATATAGCAGCCTCCCCTATTTTCTAACTAATAAATATATAGAAAATTAAAATAATAAAACAAATCTAGATTTTATTGAATTTTATAAAGAAGAAAGAGGGAAGTGAGAAAGGGAAAGAGAATATATACCCCACTGTGATAGACTATAAATGACCATAAATTCTTTGCAGTAGCTCCCATCAAAATCTGGAGTAGAAGAAGATGTAAACAAATGGAAGAATATTGGTATTCATGAACTGGAAGAATTAGCATTATTAAAATGTCCATACTATCCAAAGCAATCTATAAATTCAATACAATACTTATTAAAATACCAACAGTATATTTCACATATCAAAAACAGATACTCTAGAAGTTTATATGAAACCAAAAAGGACCCCAAATAGCTGCAGCAATCTTGAGAAACAAGAACAAAATTAGAGGAATCACAATACCAGATATCAAGTTATACTGCAAAGCCATTGTAATCAAATCAGCCTGGTACTGACACAAGAACAGGTGTATAGATTAATGGAACAGAACAGAGAACCCAAAAATTGACCAAAGATATTATGCTCAATTAATATTTGACCAGGAGGCAAGAACATACAATAGACTAAAGACAGACTCTTCAATAAATGGTGTTAGGAAAATTGGACTGCTACATGCAAAAAAAATGAAACTACACCACCAACTTATACCATACATAAAAATAAACTAAAAATGGGTAAAGACTTAAATGAAAGTCATGAAATATAAAAACCCTAGAACATAACTTAGGCAGAAAATTCTCAGACATCGCATGTAGCAGAATTTTCACGAATATATTGCCCTAGACAAGAGAAACAAAGAAAAAAAAATGGGACTAAATTAAAATCATAAGCACTGCACAGCAAAATAAACCATCATCAAAATGAAAAGGGAACCCACTCTCTGGAAGAACATATTTGTCAATGCTACATCTGATAAAGGATTAATTTCAAAAATATAGAAAATACTAATACAACTCAACTAAAGGAAGACAAACAATCAAATTCAAAAATGGGCAGATTCCAAAATGGCAGTGGAGTGAATGGTAGTTACACACACCATCTCCCAGAACCAAACTGAAATGAAAACTAAAATAAAGACAAATCATCAGGAAAAACTAACAGAAAAGCAGACGAAGGGGACCTGCATAATCACAGACAGAAAGAGGACACTAAATTGAGCCTGGTAAGAACTGCAGTATATAAAATAGATTTAATAGAGGTCTACAGAGAATTACACCCCAAAACAGCAGAATTTACATTATTCTCAAGTGCACATGGGATATTCTCGAAGACAGACCACATGATAGGACACAAAAAAAGTCTCTATAAGTTCAAGAAGATTGAAATCATATCAAGCATCATCTCAAATCACAATGGCATGAAACACAAAAACATTTAAACAAATGGAGGCTAAATAGCACGTTATAAAACAATAAATGGGTTACCAAGGAGAAAAAGGGAGAAAATTTAAACTTCCTGGAAACAAATAAAAATGAACACACAACAAAACAAAATCTATGGGACACGGCAAAAGCAGTCTTGAGAGGAAAGTTCATAGCACTACATGCCTACCTCAGGCAACAAAAAATTTTTCTAATTGACTATCTAACCTTACAACTTCAAGAACTAGAAAGCAAACAAAAGAAAAACCCAGAACAAGAAGAAGGTAAGAAATAGTAAATATCAGAGCAGAAATAAATGACATAGAGACTAAAAAACAACAACAACAAAAAAAAGAAAAACAACTCAAAAGATCAATGAAACAAAGAGCTGGTTCTTTGCAAACATAAACAAGATTGATGGGCCCTTAGCTAGACTCACCAAGAAACAAAAAAAGAGTACCCAAATAAAGAAAATCAGAAACAAAAGGCGGGGGTAACAACTGAAGTCACAGAAAAATATAAAGGATCGTTGTTAACAAATACTATAAACAATTATATACCAACAAATTGGACAATCTAGGCAAAATGGACAAATTTCTAGAAACACGTAGTCTCCCAAAATTGAACTGGGAAGAGATAGAAAACTTGACCAGACAAATAACAACAAATAAAATTGAAGATGTGATCAAGAATCTCCCAGCAAACAAAAGCCTGGGCCCCAAGGGCTTTTGGGGGGAGTTTTACTAAACAATCAAAGAAGAAATAATACACATTTTCCTCAA